CCACGACCCTCCCAACCCTCCCAAGGCTGTTCCCTGACCCTCCCTAACCCCCATACCCCGCCAACCCCCATGCCCCGACCCTCCCAACCATCCCAACCCAATTCCCCGACCCTCCCTAACCCCCATACCCCGCCAACCCCCGTGCCCCGACCCTCCCAACCATCCCAACCCAATTCCCCGACCCTCCCTAACCCCCATACCCCGCCAACTCCCGTGCCACGACCCTCCCAACCCTCCCAGCCCCAATTCCCCGACCCTCCCTATCCATACACACCTTGTAGCGATGTATGACGTACATTCCTCAACTCGAAAAGCTCCAAGCCACTCTCTGGAGGGTAGTGGGTGCAGTCGGAGGCCAAGGACAACGTTAGGCTAAGCTTCAAATATGCATGTTCTAGTGCACCGTTTTTAGCACTCATCTGGGGCGTTGCTTCGCTGCAATAGCCCATTCTTTCCTAACGTGTGTACTCCCCAAAACCCTACAGGAAACCACCCTTCCCGTGTTGCCCCAAAATTTCTCACTAACGCAATCTGTTACGATTTCTGACATGTTGAATCACATGCTGGACAGGGCAGTTTTCAATACCACAGGCCCTTTCTATGTCTCCCACAAGCCCATCTACCCAAACCATGCGCACTCCTTCCACTTGCCCTTTATACATGAACTATGATCCGCGAAATTTTGTTGATGCCACAACATGTCATTGCAAGATTGTGCTGAGGTGCCCATGATGTGCTGCTGTGGGTTGCTGCAGGCTTAGCGATTTGATTGCACCTACGACTCCCTGCATGGTCCAAAGCTCTCAAAAGCCCCCTAAAAGAACTAATGAATCCTTATCCCAAATCCCATCACTATGGCAAGCGAACGCACAGGTTAGGCGCGCAGCTAAGATGGCAACGCTTGTGCTGAGATGCTGCTGTCTAGCTGCATGCATTGAAACGAACACATAACTTACGCACCGTATATTCGGATAAAACTTGTCCTCAAAAGCTGGCAGAGCCGCCGCCAGCCAAAGCGCAGGCGTTGTCTACGACCACATATGAAGCAGCAGCGCGGCGCCCCTGTAAGCAAATCAAAGAAATGTCTTAATACCTGCAAATCATGTGTTTAAGCTGTTATGTTACTCAGAGCAGCGCTGATGATGCTTTTCAGGCTGCGCGCAACTTCAAGCATATGCTTACCCACGATAACTTCCCCTATATGGCTTCCAAGTAGACGAAAATTATATTCAGTTGTACCCACAAACATGAACGCGCATATGCACATATGCCCCAACAACTATGGCAGTTGGATCCTTCATCTTCGCTGCAAACTGTACATGTCAGCTGCTTATATTTGCGAGGCGGTCAGCACCCTCCAACATTAAGCATTGTTCCACATTTTAAATTTCGTGTACATTGCCACATTGTTGTGTGCGGTCTCATGTCCGAAATTTTTTGCGAATGTATGAAAACCATCGAATGTCTGGTTGTATGCGGCAGTCTCTCCGCCTTCGGTGAGATACCCGCACACGCCTCATTTTAGGTTGCAAAGGTGAGTCCGGTCCCATGCTGCATTGCAGGCACTTCGTGTGGTGTGTGTCGCTTTTTTTGCATGCATGGCCTGCCAACAACATCAGCAAAAGCACCCACAAACACCCACACCCACGGAGTGCACGGCTTATAAGCCATTGCAAAAGGACATGGACAATGCAACTTATGTTTGAATGTATGACGCGCTTACATGCACACCGTGCACACCCCACAGGTTTTGTGTACCGCCCCCTTTCCTTCTTTCGACATCGACATTGCACATTCCCAAATGGTTTTTGTCGACTATTCGTACTACTAGCAAAAGGTAAGCCATTTTTTGGTGCAATTTTTTGGGACAGTGCATATTGTCTGTGCCTTGGACGCCTCCGTCTTCTGTGCTGTGACAAGCTATCAAAGTACTCCTGCTGGTAAAAGTACTAGGTAAAAGGGCATCCTGTGGTGTCTGCATGACTTACCTATCCTGACTGCGATCGCATCTGCTTTTGCGCTCCTATGTGTTGACCCACAAGGCCCCAAGGTGTGGTCATCCATATAGCTATGGGTCCTGCTGGTGATCATGAAAGAGTGGCCATCATGGCCAAGAAGAAGAAACTACCTAAGTAAACTATTTTTACCACTGCCAGGAGGCTGGTGTAAATCATTCCGTAAATGCAACACCTCCCAAGGTTTGTCTTCTCCAGTACAAGGCTGAACATGTACTCCTGCAAAAATGGCAAAGAAGCTGTATCCAGCATCAAAGTTTCCATGGCTTGATATATTGTATCTAGAAGATACTGCTGCCTGCATTTCAGCTGTTGCAGTAGCTACTTGGATATTAGATGGAGCTGGATCTGCATGCTGACCATGGTGAACCTTAAGAGCTGCCTGCAGAATAGGCTCCTTGTCAAAGTAGTCTTCAATATAGATCCATACCCGGTCACATGCAAATAGCTGAAGGAGAATATGCTCCTCATGGGTTTCAAAAATACAGTCCATGGTCATTGGACTGGCTTTCGCCATTGCATTCCTGATGACAACTTTCCAACCCTCATACCACCTGCAGATTTTGCATAATAAATTAGTTTTAATATTAAATTATACATCCAAGCATTATGCACCTAAGGGCAGACTCCTCGGAAAGCAGGTAAATTCCCCAAACCCTATAAAAACCCAAAACCCAAAAATTCATGTTGACCCTTTAAGGAAAGCTTACCTATCGAGTGCCATCATATCGTCCTCCATAAATTCTTCATTCAGAACCCGCTTTGCAGCCTCCATTGAATCAAAGCGATAAAGCCCAAGATGCTTTATACTGTTATAGTCGAGATTGAACAGTACTGGCCAGGCCTTAAATGCCTGTGCTCTGACAGTTGTCTTTGCCAGTGAGTTTTTAACTGCTGACCAAGTGTGGTCATCCCAAAGAAACTTATCCTTGAGGCCACCTCTTGGGACACAGTTCAATGAGAATCCTGGAAGACATGCCTGATGAAAAAAAGTTGTCCAGACATAAGTTTTTGACATGCAAAGCAATAACAAAGAAGATACTGCAGCAGCACTTACTATCATGTAACGCAGTACTTGAAGAACCATATTTCCAACACCTTGGGTCTTCAATGGATTGGCATCAGATAAACGGTAGTCAGGAACCAGTACATATGCTTTGTACTGATTCGGGCTCCCAGCGATATAGCGTGACCACCCAAGGTCTCGTGCAAATACCTTGCCACGCTGTAGATTAGCATCTGTTACATGTTAAAAGGGAACAGAACTCAATTTTGAGAAAGTTAAATCCGTAACCCTTTAAACATTTATAACAAATCCAATATCCCCACATGACTATATCTATTTAATTTACTGAGATACAAAATACCTACATTTTATGAATTGGAATTTGCCCCACCCATAACATGCATTCTCACATTACTCAGAGTCAAAATTACAAGGTTCTTATCATCATTCTTGTACGCATATCTCATTATTTGTTTCTATTTGGTATTTGATGTTGCATTGATATAGACAATTGCACACCCAATATGCCACCAATAGAACTCCTTATGCATCCTGAAATATAACTCCCAATCTTACCTTTTCCAGTCTGATCTACAGATCGTAGTATTGGCCTCAGGAAGTTAGAGCTGTACTGCTCATGATCTTCAGGGCCTTTCCCATAAACCTTACTCCGAGATGAAATCTGAGCAGGAAATGAGGGTGCTGGATTGTTGAAATGCAGCTCTTTCCGAATTCCTTGACTCAGTGCACCAAATAAAGAGAAGAGTCCGACAGTTGTATCAATATCAAAAGCTGCACCAAGATATTCAATGGAGTAATCATGGCCTTGAGGAGGATCCAGTGAAGTAGTCTGTGATGTGACTCTTGCAGTATTTTTTGGACCATTCATACCAGGGAAGAGTAGGACTTCTTCAGGTCTACCACAACTTTTAGGCTGTGATGAAGGTACATAACCACCAGACTCCCCTCTTTCAAAGGTATAGCCATTAATGTTGACAGAAGCACCTTGCAAGTAAAAGCTGCACATTGCAAGGTCCCCTTTAAATGGAAGTGGTCCATCATAAATATCATCTTCATGTGGTGGCTCAAGAAGGCTGTGATGGCGCTTGTGATCCACAAAATCCATGTTGATGATAAGCAAAGCCTGCAAACATGTTGAGAAAATTATAAGTATGACCAAAACCTAACAAAACCCTAAGTTAACAAATTTGTTTTATCAGGTTGTATTTCTAAAGTAAAGAATGACATAGGGTTTTAAGCCATACCAGAAGCAGATATAATTGGGGTTTGAAGAAAATATTACCAAAACACAGTTATGTTTCAGGCCCCTTAGACCCTTTAGTAACCATAGTAACCTATCCTTTCAGATCCCAAACCCAAACAAACCCAAAACCCAAACCCAAACCAAAAACCTAAAACCCAAACCCATCTCAAACCCAAACCCAAAATATATACTTACTTCTTCAATAGGAATTCCAGATGTTGGAAAACCATTTATGAAACCAGAAAATGTCCTGGGCTGAAGTCCTAATCCCCAAAAACTGAACAGTGGTGGCACTTGAGGCTCCATAAAGAGGGTTTCCTCATCTCTATGGATAGAAGCACCTTCTCCATCTCTTTTCTGCCATTCTTCTGCAAAAAGATTGCTTGTCGTCACATCATCATCACTGTTGTCATCAGGGTGAACTTGAGAAGCAACTGCTTCAAGCAAAGGCTGAAGGTCGTCCGTGGCTTTCTGAGCAAAGGCCATAGCAGCTGCACGAGGCTCATCTTCAGGCTGTTTTAATGACTCCAGTACTGAAGCTAATGTCTTCTCCATGCAAGGTCTTGCAGCATGATCATTTAAGTTGGCTGATCTGAAAGTCTCAATCTGCTGTGCAAGGTATATGCGCACTTGTCCAACTGAAGGTTCCTTATGCTCTAATGAGCGTGGACATACATAAGCATCATAAAACTTTTCTGCACAAACTCTTAATTCTTCTAAATATTGTCTTGGCAAACCAGCAACCTGTAGCAATAAATGGCAATTATTATACACATGATGAAATATGACATTTTATTACTGATAATCAAAAAACCACATACCTGTCTTGGATGGATAAGCTGAGGGAGCCATGCTGCATTTGGCCCAAATGTAGGATCTCTTCCGGTAAACCTTACTAGCTCTGGTCCATCAATTGTACTCCGCCAACCAATTGGGGACCTAACTGAAGCCAGTTTCCATGGGAAGTTAAGTGGCACTCCATTCCGCTTGCCATGCATATGAATATAAAATAAGCGTGGGTTATCAAATGGTCCTAGTAAATTACCAATATTAGTATCATGGTAATATATCCAGTTTTTTAAACGTTGATGTTCCCAATGTAGATTTTTTATTCCATCATGAACAATCTTCACGAGATACTGCTGCACCATATCAGCAAAAGCAATACCATTCACCAGCTCTGTACCAAGTACATGTCGAAACTCCTTAGGTCCCCATGTACACGCTTCATCAGGTACACGAATGCATTCCCGATATTGAATGACCTGCATATGATACAAAACATGAAGGGGCAAAATATTTTAAAAGAGCATAGAGCATAGAGATTTGGCAACTAACTAAAACCCTAAAATCCTAAAACTCTAAAACCCTAATTCCCTAGGCCTAATGATATATTAGCATTCCTTGTGATTTTGTATTTACCAATCATATGTATGCAATACATCAGACCATACCTGTTTATCCTTCTCTAGATCCATGTTAGATGAATCTAATGAGGCTGAAGAATCTGATGGCCCACATAAACCAGACAAACCAGAAGAACCAGATGATGATGATGAACCAGATGAACCAGGTGAAAATGATGAACCAGGAATATCATGGGTTTTTTTGGTCTGCTGCTCATTAATTTCTCTCTGTAAATGAAATCTCAGACCCTTATTCAATACCTGAAATGGGAAAATGTTGGTAGTATGTAAATGTACGAGTTTTGCATGTTATCAAAAAGAAAACTGATTACTACATGACAGGGCTGCAACAAGACCATACAGACAAACCCTAAGTCAAACATGGCATAAAATCTCTACTCTTTACACACATCTGTACTGTAAAATACAATATAGTACTTCAATTATTTGTAATGACAAACCCTAGCTAGTACACTTCAGTAATCAAACAACACTTAGGGTCCCCACTTACCTCAATATTCTGTTGAGCCAGTCCACTGGGATCAGTAGCTGTACCCATATCAGTTTTTATCTTTTTTAGCTGTTTAGCCTTTATTTTTTGCTTTAGATTCATCTCAAGAGAATCAAGCCATGTATCAGGCATTGTCATGATAATGGGTTGTGATCCTCCATCAGCCGGATATGGGGCTGGGGCTGGGGCCCAAGCTGAGGCTGGGGCCTGAGCTGAGGCTGAGACTGGAGCTGGGGCCCGAGCTGAGGCTGAGGCTGGGGGTGGGGCTGGGGTCCCAGGTGGGGCTGGAGCCCGAGCTGAGGCTGAGGCCCAAGCTGAGGCTGGAGCTGGGGCCCGAGCTGAGGCTGGGGACTTGGCCTGGGCCTGGGCCTGGGCCTGGGCCTGGGCTGACTTCTGAGCCTGGGCTGACTTCTGAGCCTGGGCTGACTTCTGAGCCTGGGCTGACTTCTGAGCCTGGGCTGACTTCTGAGCCTGGGCTGACTTCTGAGCCTGGGCTGACTTCTGAGCCTGGGCTGACTTCTGAGCCTGCTTCAACTTTTGTTTTCGATAGCGCTCAGCAATTTTCTGCTGCTGTGCAAGAAGAACATCATCAGCACCTGGAACAAAATTGCAACCAGCTGGTGAAAAAGGCTTCTGTTGCTGCTGCTGGACCTGGCATTTCTGTGAGCGCAGTCTCTCCTTAAGCTGCTGATGTTGCTGCTCATTCAGCGCCTGTAGCTGTTGCTGATACTGCTGCTGCTGCTGTTGCTGCTGCTGTTGCTGCTGCTGTTGCTGCTGCTGTTGCTGCTGCTGCTGCTGTTGCTGCTGCTGTTGCTGCTCCTGTTGCTGCTGCTGTTGCTGCTGCTGCTGTTGCTGCTGCTGTTGCTGCTGCTGTTGCTGCTGCTGTTGCCGCTGCTGTTGCTGCTGCTGTTGCCGCTGCTGTTGCTGCTGCTGTTGCTGCTGCTGTGAACAAAGAGGCTGTACCACAGCACTTGGTCCCTCTACAGGCCCAATGGCATACTCCAGGCCGGTTCCGGCCCGGTTCCGACCTAACGGGTCCAGTTAACGAGATGGGTAACCGGTCGGTAGGATTACCGAGCGAACCGTTATCCGTTAACCGTCCCCAGTAATCGGTAACCGATGTCGGTGACCTGGCATGAGGAAAAATGCATTTCTGATTGCAACCAGTTTCTTTGTGACAATGCCCATTGTCACAAGGTTCATGCCCACGTGTCACACCCCGACAAGCTTAGGAGGTTAAGGCAATGTGAATGCCGGGTGACAGGGGTGACAGTCTTGTGCAGGCACATTTGGAGACTAGTTTACACTGAGATTGGGGTGATGTTGGATTAGAATACTTGCAGTTCATGAAATTGAGGAAATGTGTTGCATAGGCATATCCAAACGTTTCAGAGGGACGTTGTTTCGCCCGTAACAAACTTGTTACGGGCGAAACAAACTGGATTTCCACAGTCCCACCACTCAAAGAGCTCCCCACACCATCGCAAAGTCCCTTTTTTATTACAGACACATGTAACGAGTTGTCATAGCTTGAGATTGTCGATATATGACTGCTGGATTGTGACCAGGCCATCTCCTTACATGTCTTGCTGCACCAGCATGAGCAGTGATCCCTTCTGTTCAAAATTTTCAGGCAACATCGCAATGAGGCAAAACATTGTGCCGAATCTGCCGTACAAAGAGTGTTCAAAGCTTCACGCTACTAACGGACGAATACATAAGCATTCATTTACCTTGAAAGAATAAAGGAATTCTATAGCTTCATACAAATTCGCCTATCAGCAACT